GTCGCAGGCTTACCCACAGATGCAAAGGCCCCAAACTTTAACAGCCTGTATCTCCAACAGAAAGCAGTTCTGGACTTTGGTGGTCAAATTCCATATGTTTTACTTTTAAAAACCTGATACAGCCTACTGCGAAATCCAAATGTTAAATCCTCCGTTGAATGTTCCTCAAGAAATCATTACTATTTGTTCAAAATTGAAGGATTATTCCTCAAACGGCACTCAATCGTCAAGGAACGTTCATACATATGACCCTCAATCTATTACAATAATATGAGTTGGATAAACCCTTCAAAATCACAAATAAAATTTACTCTAAGCCATTCATTTCACACTTTGTATTAATTCTCGTGCTAGCACCAATTTTGTTCTATAATCGACTCTTCTGTCCGCAAGCTTGAAGAAGACGAGACAGCCTTGAAACTGCTTTCGTGAATACTAAATGAGGACTACTCAAAAAAACTGTTTTGACAGGCGTGCTTCAGCTTTGAAACAAACTTTTCGTCCTGGCTAAGAAAAAGCTTTTCTCTCCAAGAAACTTATTTTTCCCTGTCCTTCTCGCTAATTCAATTATTCGCTAATCCATCCAGATATTGCGAGAGCCGTCGGAAAGACCCCTTTAACAATATTTAACCCTCATAACGAGTATAACGACGCTGATTGTTGGCATCATTAATATCAGATTGCTTGAAGAGTTAAACGCCATTTATCTTTTTTGTTGATGAAGTGCGACAAGTCCTTGAAGTGGAGCTTTCATTAAGAAACTGGGACAATATTCATGAGGACCTTCGGGGTCACGTCTGCAGACGTTTTTGATTCTTGATATAGTCAGGTATCGAACAAAAGGATGTTTTCAAAGGTAGTGATATGATATTTGGGGGGGGATATATACACATACAATCACAATACACACACATATTGTGTATACATATATATATATATATATATATATACACACGATTCATAGTTATTGTCGAAAATAACTAGCTAAGTGGAAGACTTGTCTTTGGAAATATCGACAAATTATGCCCTTTTGACTTACAAATTCTCAAGCTTTCTACAGACTGTGCTGCCATCATCAGGAGTCCGTCAATGAAACTGGTGCTGGTGTTTGATTGTTGTAAAATGTAAACGAGAACACTAGACAAGGTGATCAAAAACTGGATTTGCACGGATCCTTTTTGGAAGAAGATACAACACATGGCTTTGTTCTAATGATAAAATACAGACGGTTTGGAACAAGCGTAATTGATTAAATGAATACTAAAACTTTCCAAAGTCACGTCTTGGACTAACCTAAAAAGGTTTACAACGTTGACCAAAAGTTCTTAAGTATCTGTAATCACGAGCAGAGCCCTTTTGGATAAATCAAATGCGTAAATCATCTGATGTGAAATAGGGTTTCATCACTCATCAATTCATCATTTGTTAGACTTGGCGGTCCGTGGGACCTTTCACATTAGTCACTGACTAATGTACGTTAGTCGAATCTGTCAGTCCTAGTTGCCCAGAAACCAATATCAAGGAAAAAGAGAAAGGGAAAAAGGAGAAAACAGGAGAAGAGCAAAGAAAAACAGAAGTGCTCAGTATAAGAGGAAACACCTAGGCTTTTTGACTTGGTAGACGGATTAATTTCGAGGTTAACTAAACAAATTTTGATTCGGTTTTGTTAGAGTGTAATTTTATGTTTACTAAACGTTCGCACTAATTTTTGATTACAGTGTGGGCCATGGCCTTGAATGTTTACGAACTTGATCCACTGTGTAGTCCACTGAGTCGCGCAACAGAGGGCTGCTGTGTGTGTCTCGTTTGAAACATACCATGGAGCGTTGCAAATTGTTTAAGTTGAACTTGAAGACTTTCTCGGTAACAAAACACCAAGCCGCAGATGCATAAGTAATGACTGGTCTAATAATCATTTTATATAGGCGAACTTTGTTTTTCAAACTCAATTTGGAGGATCTTTTAACAGGATATAGTTGCCGAAACGTAATTTGGAATTTTTGGGGGGGGGCGACGTTTTTTGGTACAATGCCTGCGTTTTCGAATGATTAATTTTAATCATCCACCGTTCCGTCCACTCTAATACTTTGTCCACAGTACCACAGTACTCTGCAACCCATCGTGAACCAGATCACCAGTACACGACTGGCCGACAAGTGCAGTGTCGTCAGCATAGAGGTAGACTTCACAGTTGCTGGGGCAAGGGACATCATGGATAAAAAGCGAATACACGATTGGTCCTAGGACCGAACCCTGGCGAACACCGGCCCGTACATTGTTAATTTTGATCCGAAACTTCCTTCCTTCAAGAATGAATTTCAGTATTTTTAGAAGTCAAAAAGGAAAACCCTTTTAGATTAGTTTATAAAGGGCCGAGAAAATATTTCAGTCGCGAAAAATTTCGCGATTCTGTGTTTTTGGATATTATTTTGACATGTACGTGTACAAAACTATGTCACTCATTTCCGTAGGTCTGTCGGTCTATCCGCTAATCCTTGACCCGTCTGTAGCTTGAGAAATAAAGGTTGAATTTCCATGAAATTTTCACACAATGCCAAGCACGAAAAAGCTTTTGAAAGTAGCGGTGGAGAAAAAAATCCAAAAATGAGATAATAAAAATTCCTCAAACTGCGCTCTTAGACGTTTTTTTTAGAAAAAAAATTGTTGCAGTTGAAATTTCCTATATTTATACGCTCCGAGCCCCGGTAATTCTATGCACCTATTAGCCATATTTCACACATTATAGATTGTGAGACTGTGAGAGATTTAGGTGTCTACTTTGACGGGGAACTCACCTTCAATTATCATATAAACCAAATAATTTATAGTGCATCGAAAACGAATGGCTTCATAATCAGAAACTGTAGGAACTTCGACAATATCTGTACATTGATATCTTTATTTTTCAGCCTGATAAGGTCAAAACTTGAATATGGATCTCTTATATGGAGCCCTATTTTAAAACAATATGTTGATGCTGATGATAAGATTTTGAAGTATCTCAGTTTCAAAACTGATGGAGTATACCCTGCGAGAGGTTCCGATTACAAAGACCTTTTACAAAAGTTTGAGTTTCAATCTTTAGAGCAACGATTGAATAAATTTTCTGTATTGATTTTATATAAATTGTTGCATGGTGAAGTAAACTGTCCCCAAATTCTCTCGCAGTTGCAATTTCTGGTGCCGCTGTTAGCTTCACGAGCTAGTGTTCCTTTTTTATGTCAAAGAGCACAGACTAACTTATTATAAAAAGCACCAGTTAATATGGTGAGTAACAATGCCAATAAAAGTGCTAACGACTGTGACATTTTTTGTTGCAATTATAATGAGATAAGGGATAAGACACGTTTTCTAAGCGAAGACTTACCATTTTCTATATATATATACTTAATACCTTCAAGCTAACTTTTATTTTTATAAATTGCTCTGTTACTGGCGATAAGCTGTTGAGCAATAAAGACTTATTATTTTTATTATTATTATTATTATTATTTATTTATTATTATTATGTATGATAATTATGTATATCACAGTTTCGTTTGAATTTATCATCATTTTTAAAAACATGTAAGCACAATTCATATATGTACAACAAAGGGGCAGTTCAGAGCCGCATATGTTTGTTTGTATCGTGCGCAAGCCGTCTGGATGACCATAGTTGTTGAATACCTAGACAGCCCCAAATGTTACAAATGTAGGAAGGGGTTAACAAACTCGTGTTTTTTAATCGAACAGCGACAACTTCAAGCAATGTTTACAAAACAAAACATGTGACAGGGCTGTACTTGAAATTTTTTAGCAAATGATTAGTGAGTATTTTTCCTCAATTTCTTTTTCACGTTTTCGGTGTTGTTTTGTTGCAAATGAAATAAATAAATACCAAAGTCCCAACTTTCAGGACACTCTGTATAGTATGATACCATTCCGTATATCCTTTCACATGAAATTGAAACTGAAAGAGTAACATATAGCTTCATTTAGTGTGGCTGTATACACGAACTCATAAAGCTTTATATATGTCCCTCGCTACTCATATATCTGGATCTAAAACGAAACCACTAAAGTTGCTCGTAACATTTATTACCACTGCATCATCGTAAAAGCGAATTTTTAAATATACACTGAATGACAAAACTGTAGCAATCGTACAAATCTTCTCCTGCATTTCATTTATAAGTAAGCATTTAAAGCTTTTACTGCACTTAACAAGGATAAAGACATTTTCGCAGTGACAGCGAATATTTGTGCAATATGAAAATAAATCTATGAAAATCGCAGAAATTTGAGGTTAGGATCACTTTGAATTTTTAACTAACATCTTTAATCCATAAATGATGATGGCGAAATATTTGCATTGATGCCAGGCCTCACTTGACCTCACATAAAACAGATTTTTCCATAGAGACCACACCTAACGTCTACTATCTACTATCTGCTATCATAATTCCTTTTTTGTCCACCGCGTGCGCGATGATCGATTTAGTTTCCCCCCAATATGCACTCCGCTTATTGTGGATAAAGGCACGCGTTCATATGTCTGCATCGGACTACTCTAACCAAACACGTTAATTTATGGTAGTGTGTCCACTGTATTCACAAGTGAACTCTCCGACACGTCGGACATTTGCAATCTTTTAAGTGTAGTATTCGGATTTTACTTCGTAATCATAACAACTAACACAATCGGCAACGTGGGTAATCTGGAAAGCTAGAACTAGATGCCCCTAGTTAGGTTGAGCGACATGTCTAAAGTTATAAACAGACAAAGATGTCAATTGCTGATCAGCCATACACGTCAATATAGACGTCAAAGCGGTATGGTGAACTATGGTGAAGGCAGTTACATTTCTATCAAATCTTTTTTTATAAAATAAAAACTGAGACACCATCACATCTTAACCAACTAGATTAAGCCCGTTTCGTGTGGACAATCCGGTGGGTGGGATGCGGATCAATAGATTCGTGCCCTGATAATGAGTTTTTATATGGATTAGCACCACATGATAAATTCTTTTTTATTTGTTTCAGCGGATACTAGTTTCCAATATGACGCAATTCGAGCCTACCTTAAGGAGCTAGACGTAACAGATTTGGTGTGGATCGGCCTGTCGAAATCAATAGACAAACCTGGTTTCACTTGGAGGTAAGTATTACATATTCATCGCATTTGTGTAAGAACATGATGCATGAATTCAATGTGAATAAAAAAATTGTGGAAATATTTCTAGATTAGAATGCTGCGCGAATAGTTTCATATTCATATACAGGGTGTTAATAAAGTATGTAGACGAACTTTAACCATCGAATCCTTGGTCAATTTGAAGAATAAATGTTCAAATGAACATGAGTCCGTAACGGCTTTCTTTTCAAGCCCGATCAATATCACTAAAGAAATACGGGTAATGTTCCAAATATTTCTATGAATAATGGAACGTATTTATTGAACAGTTGGTATAACCTATGATAAATTTTGCATGTTTTACAAGTTGCCGGGGCTCAATATGAACCTGGATGAAAATAGTATTGTCCTGTATTTTTGGAAAAAAAATTATTTAGAAGGTCAATAGAAAATATCGAATAGTTTTTTTATAATAAATATTCAAAGTGTCCACGAATTATTTGAGAAAATAAATTAATTCAATTGTTTTCGGATACGTCATAGGTGTCTAGATAAGCACAATGGTTGAATATTAAACGAACTTCTCACACAGTAGCCTTCCACCACTTACGTGTCAGGATGGAACTATTGTATTCGATTCAAAGGCCAAGGCGGAAGTGCTAGCCAAGATCTTTGCTGCCAACTCCACCATGGACGTCCCCACCAACGCCCAAGTGCCGTCAATTCAAAAGGTTCCTCACACTATGCGGAAGGTAACATTCAGGCATAAGACCGTAAGACGAGTGCTCTTGTCGCTCGACATCAACAAAGCTTCTGGTCCCGACTTGATTCCTGCCATTGTACTGAAGCGATGTGCAGCGGAGCTTGCGCCAGTTTGCTCATGTCCAGTCCATCCCAAAAAAAGGATCTAAGACCGACCCTTACAACTACAGGCCTATAGCTCTACTTTCTGTTATAAGTAAAGTGATGGAGAGGTGCATAAACCGCAAGCTTCTGGACTACCTCGAACGTCACAGCTTGATTAGCGACAGGCAGTATGGTTTCCGGCACCAACGATCCACAGGCCACAGGGGACCGCCTAGCTTACGTCACGCAATTGTGGAGTAAACTCATCCAGTCTCATGGTGAGGCTCATGTCGTTGCTCTTGACATCACCAAAGCGTTCGATCAGCTGAAAAGCTTTGCAGATGGATGGCTGACTTTATCTCTGGCCGCAAGATATCCGTCGTAATTGACGGATTCTCCTCTTCATCCCACAACGTCAACGCGGGTGTTCCCCAGGGATCGGTCTTGGCTCCAACACTGTTTCTCTTACATATCAACGACCTCCTTTCCTGCACGATCAACCCAATCCATAGCTTCGCTGATGACAGCACTCTACATGCAGGAATTCAGAGTGACAAGCCTATATCTGCCGCTGAGCTGGAAAAAAGAAGACTAGCGACGACTTCCTCTCTGACAGGAGCCTTGGAGACTATCACTGCTTGGGGACGCAACAATCTTGTACAGTTCAATGCTTCCAAAACACAGTACTGTACTTTGACGAACAAAAAGCGTCCTAGCGCTCATACAGTTTCGATGGAGGGTCGAGTTCTACCAAAGAGCCATTCCTTTCGGCTGGTCGGAGTCCAGATCACCGAGGACCTGATCTGGCACGTCAATAGCTGCAGCTGCTGGGAAAAAGCTAGGCTATTTGTTTAGGGCTAAGAAGTACTTTTCTCCGCAGGACCTTCTCACTCTATACAAGGCCCAGATAAGGCCTAGCCTCGAGTATTCTCTAACAGACAGTCTCGGGACTCTTTCGCACCTAAGAGCCGTCGGCGATCTAGCTCTTTCTATCGCTACACCAACGGACTTTGCTCCTCAGAGCTCTCTTCCATGATGCCGCCGCGCGATGTGCCTGCCAGACAGACCCGCCTGACTTCGGCGTCCCATCCTAACCGTGTCAAACTTCGTACATCCAGAACTGGCCGATACGACCGCTCCTTTATCCCGAGGGTGTCTAGATTGTCGAACAATCTACAAGAGGAAGCTTTTCCCAGTTCTACTAACCTTAGGCTGTTCAAAAATCATATTAACAAAATTTCTTTGGGATCATCATAGCAGCCGCGGTGTTCCGGCATTTAGGCTTCTGCCTGCGCGGCTGTTTCGATATAAAAAAAATTAATTCAACTGTTTTCGGATACGTCATAGGTGTGTAGATAAGCACAATGGTTAAATATTAAAAGTACTGCGATCAAAACAAATCAATGCCGAGCTATTTAAAAAAAATACTGGATAACATTATCCGTATCTACGTATATGGAGGGTCTGAAAACAACTGTAAATCATGTGATATTCACCGCAATTAAAATAAAATACGTTCCATTCTTTTATACTTTTTTAGAACAATATCATCATTTCTTTGAGTGCTAATATGCTCAAGCTTGAAAACAAAGCCGTTGCGGGCCCATGTTTATATGGAAATTTCGTCTTTAAATCGACCAAGGATTCGATGGTTAAAGTTTGTCTACATACTTTATTAACACCCTGTAACAAAGAAGCTCCACAGAACAGTCCATTCAACTGAAGTTTGATCTATGTGTGGGCTGGTAGAAACTGGAGATTGCTTGAACAGACAATAAAATGGAAATGCCTGGACAGTTCAAACAAATCAAAGGGGTATCCGAAAGCAATAAGATTCTATTTGTATATATAAGAAATACGAGACAGAGAAGGTTCTCAGTATATTAGGTTTTCTACGGGTACTAGTAAACAAAATCCCAAACGGCCGAAGAAGTATTATCCAACAATTTGTTTGAAATCAACATTTTCCGGAATAACTCCATATTAAAACTATTTGCATAAAGGTGATAATCGTGACGTTACGTGAACACATCAGCAATTGATCAGGTAAACTTACGTATCAAAATCAAAATTGATGGATTGTCAGAAAAAAATATGATGATAATTTATTTCTAAATTCAAGCCCTTGTTCACGTGAGCGCGTTTGGGCGAATCGTGAGTTTACGTTACAGTTTGCGTGATAGATCGTGAGCACACGTGACGTGACAATGATGTGTATAGATAGTTATAGTCTAGAAAGCCCGAAGAAACCTGATGGGAAATGGCGTTCGGCTAATTTAAAAAAATAGTATGTTGGAGAGCCCAACCCGATAAACGAAGGACTAATGACCTAGATTAAATTGTTGCTTTTCTGGTACATACCTATACCGGATGATTAAAATTCGATCTTCACCATTGGGATCTCGGAAATGGTAAGAGATATGATGTCGCTTAAATTGGCACAAAGTTGCGTTCAGGTATCTAACAAAATTCCGCTTAGAAAATTCAAAATACGAGAGAGACGAAAGAAAAAACGAATTTTACCAAAATCGTTTAAGTCTTTATTTGCAGTGAGAATTAAAAATAAGTTACACATTAAGATTGCCACTTTTTCTACTCTACAAGATAACATAATTTGAATAGAGTTTTTAATACTGATTCCAAAATGTATAATGTGTCATACCATACATTGACATAGTTATTTCAAAAAAGAGAATTTACTAGGTAGGCCTTGAAATTATCAGATAGTCATTTGTTCCGTATACGAGATTTATTTCTTATTATTCTTATTTATTTTTATTATTTGATGTCGCTCTTTTGCAGAGGAGAAAGGATGGCAATTTATTTTAAACTCCGGCATACGAAACAAATGACGATAATTTCAAGGTTTACGAGTACTAGGAAATACTATAACCCATTATATATTTTTGGTATCAGAAACTCTAGTCATGTATGCAAAAATTCAACATGGTGTCCATTAGATAAAATAAAGTTAATGCTGAGACAAGAGACGAAACGTCATATTGAAATTCTAATTATACCATCTTGTAGAGGAGAAAAAGTGGCAATGTTGATGTGCTTTTGATTTTGAAGTCTTATCTAAATTAAGACGATTTTGAGAGAAATAATTTTTTCCGGTCTCTCTCCGGAGCTACTTTGAATTTCACATCTTTCTAAGTGGCATCTTATTAGTTACCTAAATACGCAAATTTGCCTCCATTTAAAACACTTCGCATCTCTTGCCGTTTTTGAGATTTCAATGGTGACGGTCGAATTTAAAACACGAGGCATACATTTAATATAGCTTTCGTTCGTCCGACCACAGATGATCGATTCTAGTAATGGATGGCACTTTGTGCTATCTTATTTCTATATGATTTTATTACATATTTGAACAGAATCTCACGATTTGTAAGTTGTATTTAGATACTCGGCAAAGCAGAGAAATATCCGACTACCTAATAAAAATATCGATTTATAAAAGAACCATTTTGATTTCCAACTCAGTAGTGGAACACCCTGTTATATTCTTGAGCATCTTTACTTGAAACGTTTTCCGATAGGGACAGTGAAGGATAATCCTGAACAGTTTTCGAACAAGTTTCGATCTCAAAAGACTCCTTCCAACATATCATGTATCGAACCCAAAACACAAACTGTCCAACTTGGAGGCCCCGTATATCGGAAAGTACTCGTGGAAATACAAACCACTGACAATTTTGTTCGACGTGTTGAGATCTGCAAAATACAAAATTTCAAAAAATAGCCAAACGCCACTTCCCATAAAGTTTCTACGGGATTTTTTGTATGTTTGACAAAGGATCAAAACTATTACTATTAACACCAACAGCACTTAGTCCAACTATTTTTAGACGCGATAATTTCACATACCCAGTAGAAAATAAATCATCATTTGTTCCAGTGACTTGAATCCACTAACGGGTGAAGGACATTGGCAGAACGCCATACCTCAGTCGCAACAATCCATGTGTGTCGCCATGGATCCCGCTTCCGATTTCCTTTGGAGAACCTTGCCCTGTGGTGGACCTGACGCAGCGTCTTTCATATGCGAGTTGCCAAGTAAGGAATTAAAACACGCATCAACTTTAATCACCCATAGTAGATAAATATCACTAGACAAGCAAGAGTCGAAAATGGCGATTTGACGCTTCATGTACTACTCTACTTTCTACTTATTAGCTATGGGCACTATCTGTCTAACCACCACCACGAATTATGTGTCTATTTTTCTCTTAGCAGGATGTGTTCTATTCATTGCTCAAGTTTATGTTCTATATTTGCTGGGAGCTAAGTGCATAGCAAACATTTCACTATCATCATTTGTTAAATTGTTCCTATCCTGAAAATGCCAAAATATCATTTTCATTACTTTAGTCGAAATCACGAAAGATGACGATTACGTGATCCTTTTAGTCTGTAGTAAAGACAAACGACAGCGATTTGTGAATATATTTAATGAAGTTTCTGATATGTTAGACAGAGACAAACAGAATTTTTTTGTCTAAACAAACTGTATTGCTAAGTTGCATGTATCCGACAAAGATAGACGATATTTTCATGTTGCATGATCGATCATATTTGAAAGATGAATAGTTAGGTTATGTTAAAGCAGGTTATGTTGTTTTCGAAAAACACCTTGGTCTTTGGTGTTCCTGTCTTAAGGTATTCTACTCATAACTGTTTTTTTTTCAAAACAAAAACTCCACACTAAAATTATTATTAAGGTATCACCCAAAACCATGAAATAAAATGAAAATAAAAATAATCAGTGAAATAACCTAACTTCGCAAAATCATATTATTAATTTGTTGTCATTATGTTTCTGACTCGTGATTTTATCATCGACGTACGTCTATTGATTAGTTCAGTACAATTTATGGTATGACGTAATAGTCATCTTTCGTGATTTTGACTATAAATATATTCGTTTATTTCTATATTACACGTATCAAGCAGAAATATTTCTGTCCGACATCCGCCAGATGGCGCTTTAATCATGCACCCAGCGAATAAAGGAGGATCTTAATGTCAGATTGGTATTCAAGATATAACGAGTGTTTCTTAAGGCTCTTTGGTATACCCATCAATTCCCATATTTTTGATATTCTCTCGGGTGTTACATCATAATTAATTTATTTTTTTATTTATCACATAGACAAGAAATCTGAATCGGCATAAATGCTAAGGGCTTAGTGGAGAACAAAGATTTGAATTTACTTGACGTAGACACATTGTAAGATGCAGATATCTAAGGTCACTCATTCCAAATTTTAGGTCTCTTAGGAATGACCCTGTATGTTTTTACTCACTCTTCCTAGTCTTCGTCGTGGCCAAACCTACAAACTCATAAGTGCGATATTATGTTGTCTTCGTGGAGACTACCGTTCGTCCCTTGGAAATATTAAGCTGTAGCATCCCCTAGGGGGCTTTTCCAGCAAAACCTGTGACAGAACGGAAGCTCTAGCAACTTAACCGCTTCACCTGCAGCACCGTGCGCGAAATCTCTCGTTGAGTCGAGATATTATGTGGGTGGCAGGGGGTTGAGGAGCTGTTTTCCAACGTGAAAAATGGTTGTTTTAGATTGGAATTTTATTGGGAAAGTTTTATTATATTGTTGTTTGTATTTTTATTTGTAGGAACGAGGTTGCGAGATTTGGCAAAAAAATTTCATGACTTACTACTATTAATGTATTTGAGAAATATTTATTTATTGAGCTGTGCTTTTTTATACGAGGAATGCTCCTTATGTATTCGGGAAACTGAAAATGTAAATTAAGTTAAAACCCATTTTCAGTAGCAGCATGGTTTTCCTGGTTGAAACTTGTTTTCACTAAATGTCTGTTAGAACTGCTAGAGGAAACAGCTCCTTAAAAATCAACGTCAGTGTCAGTTATCTGTAGTCAGTCTGTTTCTGCTGCCCAGCAAGTATGGACAAAGTTGACGAATTTTAGTTTCTTGGAGGTCCTTTTGGAAGTCCTTTACTTAAGTTGCTGTTGTTAAATGGCATATTATCCTTTATTTTTTAGTAGAGATGAGTATAAAAGGTTATTATTGATAAATCTTGTCTTTCATATCCCACGTTAAACTGTTCTCGTACACAAGAGTTATGCAGATTGTCCATGGTTTAATAACCAACTAGACGAAAAAGACGCAAGTCGTACGAAAAAATCAAATACTTTGAAATGCTCAAGTGGTTCTGACGATGTTGTGTATAACGCATGTTTTGGCACAAAATGCATTGGCTTTAATTTTAACAAACACAAAATAATATCAAGTTGCCTTTGGAAACAAAACTTTGGTTACTTACTTTACTGTCAGTTGGCAGTTATTTATCCTGAAGTTTTTGCTTTAAGACGTCGAATCAATTAGAAATAAGAAAAAGTATCTACAAGTTAGTTGGGCGGGTACCCAAAGCTGAATTCTGTCGAATATTCCAGGATGAAAACATTTCACGCAGAACCATTTATCGAGCAACAACAGGGTGCGAGCAGGGAATACCATGTCTGAATCTGGATCCGGATGTGATTACTATTTGATATATCAATATTCCTGCTATAGATGTTAAAATTTCACTCTGAAATTAAGGGAAACGACGGATTCAACACGGACAACGTAGGGGAATGCCCTGACAATGCTGGATACAAACATAACGCGAAATTTGCAGATAAAATCCTTGTCTGGTGCACAATTTCTAACAAAGGTGTATCCCAACCCTTTGTGGGAAGAGTGAGGGGTGAATAGTCAGAGCTGCATTGATAACTGCCTTTCCAAAATGCTTCAGTTTGTCCACGAACATTATTCTGATGACCACAACACAACACAACATACCTTTTGTTCGCAAAAACGATAATCCTCCAAACTTGCCGCAGGCTCGCCCAAAAGATAATTTTTGGGCTTTACTGTCTAAGAGCCGTTTTATACACAAGAGACTCCGAAAATTATGGTCATAATTATGCCGAAAATGTGCATGGAAAAAATATTGAAGATTTTCTCTACAACCTGTATGACACAAGCAAAAAAAAATTCGGAGTAATTCATATGATACGCCTGCGCATTAGAGTAATATTTTCGAATGGACATAGCCTTAACGGGTATGACGTCCAATATAATCGGAAAGACAACAGACGTCGTTGATTTAAATTTATTTTTGAAATCGAGATCTTGGTTAATATTATAAAACTTCTCAATGCTTGGACTATCGCATCCAGCGCCTGACGCCGCAAATTTCAGTTTTTGTAATTGGGTGGCTTCACCTTGTACAGGTTTGGCCATTTTTGGTACTCCTCCAACAACTGTGTAACTTCTTCGCTTCTTCCCGATTCCACGACATTATGAATAAACAATAACAATAAACGCTCCATCGTACGACTCGAACAGGACCACACCCACAAATGTTAAGTGAGGTTATGTTGTTGACGTTGACATTTGATGTTGACATGTACGGAAATAACCCTCTGCGCCGATTCTCGCGTATATTCTATAGAACGGGTTTTATATTTTTACCATGAACATTTTCATAAGAATTCGTTTGAGTGTAATACGACAGCAAAAATTTTCGGCATAATTATGACTATAATTTTCGGAGTAATTCTCTTGTGTGTGAAACGGCTCTAAGAAGGTTTATCATGGAGACTGGAAAGATGACGAATTTACGAAGAAGTGAGAGAAATTGATCTGAATTCCGTCCAGCACCTCATGAGAGACATTTGAAGAAAGTTGCGTCTGGTAGATAAGAATGGGCCACTCCAGAATTCGATAGTATAGTTTAGTTAAGTATTGAATTGTAATTAATTGAAAATCGGGTATTTGTTTATTTGAAGGAATTCGTCAGACCCCGTCAAGATAAATATTTGGCGGAATTTGCATCCATAGTAGCCTTGGGATTTATTCGTTGCGTGTGTTAAGTGAGGCTGTAAGAAAAATGAACACCTTGGTTACTCAAAATGCTATGTTCATTTGGTCTTGTAATAACAAGTAGTTGAACTTATGTCATCCTTTTATTCATTTTACATTTTTATTAAGCTATTTTTGATGTCTCTTCGATTAGTTGAATTTCTTGAAATTAATATAGTGGCTTTGGTATTACTGTTATATTTTGATATCCCAATTTATGATTATTATTTCTGATTAATAAGTATTTAAAAATGACTAGTTGATATTTTAATAAACAATACCCATATTTTCAGATAATAGGAATCTTATGTAAGATTTAAAGTACAGAGGTACTAGTATCATCTAAAATTTCAATACATATAAGCAGTAAATTCTAAAACTAGTAAATTTTAGTCATAACATAGGCACATATTAAAAACTAGTTTTTACTAAAGATAATGAGTGATAACTAAAAACAGGTTTTAACTGTAACAAGTATGAGCTATGTGATGTTTCAGAAATCAATTTCTTAATACACTACTTGCACAAAGTTTGACTTTTTGGCTCACTCTGTAGTCAAATGTAAGTCTGAGCATATAGCCAAAAAAACAGGTAGCTACTGCTACGATTATAAATTCTGTACCGTGTTTTGGAGTAATGCTAACCAGTCAAGAACATAGCACTTAAACTGCACTGGGTTCCTGGATGCTCAAGACCGGGTCATCCCATGGACTCACAATATTTAAAAAACTAGACCCGACCCGACGGAGTTTCAGATATATCAGTGCTCAGCTGTCTCATCATTCCTACGAAAGGATGCCGATTTATCTCATATAATAGAGCTAACAACTTCATAACTGAAATATCTGGAACTCGCTAGCATATAAGCAGCCACATTTGTTTAGGACTCTTTCGTACTCTTTCAGCAATCATACCTCTGATGGCAGAATTCAGAGAGACTTCAACCTCATTATTATGTTTTCTAAAATTGTATTTGTCAGTCGACCAGCTATGATAATATCTATCCTTCGACTGTAAGTAACTCTTCCTCAGGAGACAGGAAACTTTTATATTATTGCTGGTATATACTCGATTTCCATTTCTGTAACCACGACTAACCGCAGACAGATTTTTCACCTACCGCATTTGAGTTTTCCAAACGAAGACCTTCTCTTGTTTGCTTGCCGTTCATCTGTCTCCAGAGCTACTAGTCCTCTATGTAGATAGGTTGAGAATAAGTATTGCATGTCTACAATGCAAATCATAATATTGCTAATTGTAATTTGTAATACTTCGATAGCTGTAAAGAAGAAGAAGCAAATTCATGCTTCTTTTGAGACCTCTTACAAAATACCTTGCAAATTAATTTAACATCTCATCATACTTCGTACAGAATCAGGTCACAGATACATCAAGATTTAATCAGTTCAGACCGAACATGTCTGGTAATACCTTAGCTGGAATATCAAAGTTTTATTAAAAGTTTCAGCAAAGGATTACCATTTTTATAGAGGAGGCGTATCCTCACTTCAATTTTACACTACAATGAATTCTAGGTGATATTAAATTGATACTAAATTTAAAAGCCGAAATCAGGAGTTAAATAGGATTGGAGCTGACACACCTTTAATATAAATATAAGTATAATCTGATACCATAATAATCGAGGAACGACAATTCTTAGCAAGCTAAATAGAGTCGCAGTGGAGAACCATGTAATGATCCACTCATTATGATCATTACCTACTGTATCTAAAATATGATAATATGGAAAGTATCAGTGTTTAAATAAAAATCATAATTGTAGCAAACATCAACTCATTATATTTCAAATTTTGCTGGGTGAGTATAGTTTGATACAATATCAACACATAGCACATTCACCATATTCTAAACCGTAGTGCGTCACAAGTCTGGTAATTTCAAATTAATTTCCTAAGCTCATTATTAATATTAGGAAAAGACAAATAGTTAAACTTCAATTGAATCAGGTTAAATAAAATTATTTGTGATTATATTTTGAATAACAATTATTATTTAGGACATTTTAATGTGGCTTTTTAGAATATCCTAATCAATCTGTTCCATTTCCCGCGACGAAACGTTTTCGTAAGTAATTTATATTCATGACAAAGAATCGGAGTATGATTCAGGGCAGAACCCTAGATAAATGTAAATTCACGACGGGCAAAAAGTTACAGCAAATCCTAATTCATTTCCATCAAAGCGAAATTCGATGGAATAAAATATCAGGGTGAGCGAAAAAAAAATCGATATCGTTAAATGAGGTAGAGTTTTTATTACTTTATTACTTTGAAAAAAGGGTAGGGTTTAGCTATGTATGTCTAATTTTGATACAAAGTGATATACAGTTTCTGTCGAGTTATCACTACAAATTCTCCAAAGAAAGGTCGAAAATTGGTCTTTCCAGAGTGCATCTCCTTCGAGCCAGCCCTAATGCTCAAAATCAGTAGTGTTGCTATGTAACACAGTACACAAAGATACGTGATATTTGTCAGCAGCACATTCTTAGCACATAGAGCACCGATATAAAAGGAGTTGAAGCAGCGACAAACACAACGGTACAGTAAAGTGCTTAATTACGTTATGGATCAAACAGCTTCTGTGTGTGGATGACTGTTAGAAGCATCTTGCGGGAAGGGGGGTAAACTAAAAAAAATAGAGAATCAATTTTTTACATCCTGAGCTGGGTTGGCAGAAGGTCGGCGGCAGATTGTTTATCAAAGGCAATACTTTGCCCACGACCTTTCAGTTACCGCCTGGCGCGATGGGGAGTCGTATGTACATGTTGAAAGAAAAAAAACAGCCAAAAACAATAATCATATGAATGCTTTTAAGTATTGGTACTACAATATTATTTGATATTGCATGATCAAATTCTAATGAGCTACAATAAATGCAAACTGCATTTCCAAATATCGGAGAAGTGAAAATCTCACAAGTATCCCCTCTATCTTCAAAAATTGCAAACATCTACAAGCCATGTATCATCGTTTAGGATCTAAGTGATCAGAAAATAAAGGAGCCTCTAAAAAAATTAAAGAAAAGAAAATGAGCTTCCAAAATCAGATACTCATCTCTTCCATCGATTATCCAAAGAGCATTATCTTTTATCTCTAGTTTTAAATCTGAACCTTTTTAAATCAGGGCTAACAGAGGACTTTCGAATAAGCGTCGCCATGGAGATGAGTATATCAACCGAAAATGGAAACCTACTTTAAATGTGCAAGCCACTTGTGATGCCAGAGAGATGTTCACAAGTTTTGATGTCAGTTGGCCTGGATCAGTGCATGAGTCCAGAATATGGAGAAATTCACAACTAATAAATAAAGCAAATGTTGACTTGGCGATGACGGTTACGGTATTGAGCCATGCCTTATGACTCCCTTCAGAAATCGTACCCAGGTGCAGAAATAAATTATAATAAGCTTTTAAAACAAGAAAGAGTTATAATTGAACGCTGTTTCGGTCAACTGAAACGCCGGTTTCCTACCCTACAGTATGTTGTCCGGGTAAAGTTGGAAAATGTGCCGAAAATAATTATTGCTTGTATTGTACTCCATAATGTTGCGAAGAGCTTGGGCGATCCTGAGTTAGTTGAACAAAACCCAGATAAAGTTGAAGGAAATCATGAGAATGATGAACTTCCTCTCCGTCAACTGTGTCAACAAATAAGAAGAAACTTGAGTATTATAATAAATAGTTTTACTGATTAAAGTATATTTATAAGTTATAATAAGTTTTATTTTCGTAAACATCATAAATTACAGGTGGCTTCTGACGCTGCATCATTTCTAATTTCGTTTTATAATACTCTTGTTGTAAAATACTTGTTTGGTACTGCTGTAATAGCACTAGACGTTGCAGTTCTTTTGTAGTTAACCCTTTGGTTTCCTAAGTTTCGTATTTCTCTGTTGCTAATTTTCTTTTTGGTTGCAATGTCTACTGAAATGCTGGCGGTGTAATATTGTTTGCTCATTTCCTTCTTCTTCAACACTACCAACCTGAATGGCACCTCTAATTTTCCCAATTGTAGGATTACAGTCACCTTCCATAGCTTTCAGCAACTTTCTTTCCCAATCTAACAATTTAATTGCTTTATTTCCAGTTTTTTTTAGATGTTTTTTCTTCAATCTTGATTTCATGTTGTTGATTTTTTTTAATAAGTATCTAATGATTTACCGAATGTTGATTCGTATTTTTTCAACATCTTCTTCAAGGCATCGTCCTTTTTTATTCTTATTTTTGCAACTTGTGACTTTTGCCAAATAATGGGAGCAATGGCAAATTCATCTGCGATGAACTGCAGGTCGTTGCCATTATTTTCTAAAGCTTCCTCATCACTTGAAGATGACATGCTTATTAATTTGATAAAAAACCGTATGCAGTCTGTGTAAGCTCTGGAGTACAACTGTCAGTGATGCTGAGTGAACGAACCCCCACGTCAACTACACGCTGGAGCAAATCAGGACATGTCGCTCAAGATACAAATACCAGTCAACCTTTTACTTCTTGGAGGATATCCCCGCGAGTATAAGGTAATCATTATGAATATGAATACAAGGATATGCTTATACTTCTACCTTTTTCTCCGAAGCAAGGCCTTATACTTTTACTTTATGCTTCCGATGATATGCTTCTCTTTTATGAATACGGAACAATGTTTAACAATTCTCTACTTACTATTGTTGAAAGCGCAATTCATGTTATGCTTCGTGCTCATATTTTGTCTCCCAAACCGGCAGAGAAGAATGCGACTCCAATTTTGTCAAACATTCCTTTTAAAAAACAATCGGCCGCCAGCCCAGCGCAGTATGCAAAAAAATGATTACATGTTGTTTTTGCTTGTTTTTTCCTTTTCACATGTGGCTACAACTCCCCATTGCGGGGGAACGAAAACGCTGTGGGCAAAGTATTGTTGTTTATGAAAGAGTAAAAATTGATTATCGATCGTTTACGCTTGTTTTTTCCTTCTAATATGTGGGGCGAACTAAAACGCGGTGGGCAACGTACAAAGGAGGAGTAAGTTAGCCAACCGGGCTAACAGACGAGGGATGAAACCGTCTTTATGGGGGGTCCATATTAACCCACCAGTCAACCCCTGAGAGCCGCAACCCGCCAACCTTTTCATTTCCTTGATGCCAGTACGTCCACCGTACTTGGAAGTGGAGAACCTTTTTTCTCCTCTAGGGTTTTGTGTCATGGGTAATTAGTATACAATCATTTTTCAATTACTTTTTACCTGTCAGTAGATGTCTTATGGGGATTCGGTCTCAAAACTTCCAAAATCCGCCACCAGAGGCGCTGGCGTCGCGCGCCATTGACAGGTTGTTGGACGGAATCTGTATTCATGAGTTGGGGATTCCGCCGCTAGATGGCGCTGTCAAACCAAACGGAATCTGTGTGTCATTGGACACCTGTCATGCGTCATTGGGCATCTCACGCATAGATGGCGTTAAAACGTCATCTGTCATACGTCATTGGAGACCTGTCATTGATGGGTTGAGCATCTCGCGCATAGATGGCGCCGATTTGTTTGGCGCTGTACAAACCAAACGGAATCTATGTGTCATTGGACAGCTGCCATTGATGGGTTGGGCATCTCGCGCATAGATGGCGCCGATGTCGCACCTGTCTGGTGTTGGCGTGGATTACGGGGGGCAACGTGTATACAGGGGTGCATCGAAAAATAGCGGATCGATGGACCGACGGTATATCGTTAAATCGTATATAGCAAGGCGTGACCTAAATAGCGTGGTGGGCTCCTCTGGTCGGTCGGTCGGTCGGTCAGAATGTCTCATAACCTGTATACGATGTACTGTTATTATTATACAGGATGATACCGTTCAAAATGAAAATAGTATAATGGATATTTTATTGAAACATATAGTATATATAACAATAAGGTTGATTGGTGTGTGTGTGTGTGCCATGTTTTGAATACCCGCGCTTGAACAACTTGCAACAAGAAATTCCGACAATATTATTTCGCAAACCAGAGGTATTTTCAATAAAACTACATATCAGGGAGTACTTTAGATGTTGATACTAATCGACTCAAATCATTGTTCGACAACTGATTTGGTTCATGACAGACAAGAATCAAATTATGTATTTCACGGTTCAGTTCTGGTTGTTTTTTAATTTTTTCCCTAAACTTCAGGTAACCCAGGAAATATGTCTCTTATCCGTCCTCTGTTCAACACATCAGTAAAATCGTTAGAAAATTCTATATATGACATATTATTATAAAAGGTATAGGACCGTCCTGCGTTTGAT